GTAATTCAAAGTCCTTGGCCAAGGCGGGATGATTAGAGATTCATAAACGAATTACTAAACTTGAAATGGAATCATAGTTGTTAAATCAATTTGGGTTTCGACAAAATCATACCCAAAGATTTAATCGGGAAATTGGATGTCGAAAGGATTTTCATGTATGGACTTGTAATTGAAATAGGTTTACTCGCTATTCACTATATACTAGATTCATGCTACTTGCTAGATGTTCCCATGATATGTGGGTTCTTAAATTAAGGAGTTAATTCATGAATAAGAGTTAATAAGATTAACTCAAATTACAAAGAGTTGTAAACCCACTACTAGTATTAATTGTGAACCTAAAAGGTCACACCAATTTTTGAATGAAGGTAAAATTCAAATAGTAATTCTAAAGAGTTAGAATTAATTGACAAATCTAATTTGATTAGATGTCAATTAAAGAATATATTAAATTAATCAATAAGACTGATTAATTGAATTTTGGATATTAATTTAGTAATTAATGTAATTACTAATTAATAGTTGGAATTTAAAATTGGATTTTAAATTTCAAATCCAAATAATAATATGATTATTAAATGAGGAGATGGGAGAAAAGAATAAAATAATAAAGTCTTGAAAAATGTTTTCAAGAATCATTATTTTATTAAAGATTAAATATTAATAAGAATAAATTAATTATGGTGGTTTGAAGTTGTTAACCACTTAACATAATTAATCTTATTTTTATTAATACAATATTTGGTGGGGATAGTCTTGTTCAAGATTGAATATTTTATGAAAATATTCTTGAAGACTTTTTATATTTAATGAAAATATTCCACCAAATATTATTAATTTATACTAAAATGTTTAGTATAAATATGGACATATTTGATGTTCAAAAGTAATCTTAAGTTTTCAAGAGTTGAAAAAGAGAGAAAAGAAGAAGTGTTCTTCAAACTTCAAAACAAGAAAGAGTTCTTGTAAATCTCCTCAAAATATATTCTAAACTAATTGAATAAAAACCGAGTAGTTTCTACGAGCGAAGAAACTATTACGGAACCGAATTCAAAAGATGGATACGATTAGAGGGAAGACATTTGGATTCCTAAAGCGAGTAATATCAACAAAAAGAAGTTACCAAACCGGGAGTTGATTTCCTCATACATCGTCATTTGATGGAGTTCAAGAACGAAGTTAAATTTAATTTACTTACAACAAATCATAATTTGTATTATTACATGTTTTTAAATGATGACGATTCGTGTATTCACTATATGTACGTATGGGTTGAGTATTTATATGATAAATACTTGTTTTTGAAACATAATTTTCCGCTGCGTATAACCCGTACGGTACAGGTGAACCCAACATTATGTACTCCTGAAGATAAAAAAGGAGGCAAACCAAGAACTGCTCACAGCCTTGCTGGGTTTAATGACTTCATAGCAGATATGAGCATGTATGAGTTAAAATGGAAAGGCCACAACTTCACATGGGCAAACAACAGAGAAGGAGAAGGCTTTGTCCAGGAAAAGTTAGATAGAGCTTTCAGCTCCTTTGAATGGCTTGCAGAATACCCAAATGCTACAGTTGAGAACATCCTTCGCAGCTCCTCAGATCACAGCATGTTATTCATTAATTCAGATCCTGATTCACCAAAGAGGAGGAGCCGATTCTGTTTTGACAAGAGATGGCTTGCTAAAGAAGGAGTGACTGAAGTGGTGGCTAATACATGGAACCAACACAACTGTGGAGGCATTCCCATGTATAGAGTAAAGGAAAAAATAAAACCCACCAGGATTGCTCTCCTTAAATGGAGCAGAAACCATTTCTCAGGGAACCAAGAAAAGATTAAAAACCTCACTGCCATTTTAGACCAGCTGAGAAAGCAAGATGGTGAGAGAGACTGGGAAGCTTGGAATTCTGCTACCAATCAAATTAAAGCAGCTTACCTTGCTGAAGAGTTATTTTGGAAGCAAAAATCCAGAATACTATGGCTCAAGGCTGGTGACAAGAATACTAAATTCTTCCATGCTCTCACTGCTCAGAGAAGGAAACTTAATGCCATCACAAGGCTTATGGATGAAAATGGCCAGATTCTGGAAGATCAACAAAGTATTCAACATTGTGTCTGCAGATTTTATGACCAACTTTACTCTTCTGATGGCCCCATTGGCAACACAGAAATCCAGAACAGAATCCCTCATACAATCACTGATGCACAAAACCAAGAGCTCATTGCAGAGGTGGATGAAAAAGAGATCAGAGAAGCCATTTTTAGCATACACCTAGAAAAATCACCAGGAGAAGATGGAATAACTGGGACCTTCTTCCAACATTTTTGGCCCCTTCTGAAAGATGACATTTGTGAAGCCATTCTCAGTTTCTTCAAATCAGGGAAGATGCTAAAGTACTGGAATCACACCATTGTCTCCCTTATTCCTAAGTGCCTTTATCCAGATTCTCTCAACAACTTTAGACCAATCAGCCTCTGTGGTACTCTATACAAAGCAATTTCTAAAATCTTAACCAACAGACTCAAACCATGCCTAACCTCTTGCATAAGAGACACTCAGGCAGCCTTTATCACATGCAGAGCTCTATTGAACAATGTCATTGTGGCTCAGGAAGTTTTCCACTTCCTTAGCAGGCACAAATCTGGGAATAACTTCTTTATGGCTATTAAGCTGGATATTCTCAAAGCCTTTGATAGACTTGAGTGGGAGAGTGTTAAGCAAGTCATGCTCAGAATGGGATTCCATGGTAAATTTGTCAGTTGGGTTATGGGCTGTATCACATCACCAAGCTTCTCTTTTAAATTGAATGGTAATATTTGTGGCCTGGTTCATCCTACTAGAGGGATTAGGCAGGGAGATCCCATCTCTCCCTACCTTTTCATTCTAGTTGCTGAAATCTTCTCTTCTCTACTACTGTCTGAGAACAGTTTGGGAGGCATGCAGGGGTTAAGAATTTCTAGAAATGGACCTACACTGTCCCACCTTCTTTTTGCAGATGACACCCTTGTCTTCTGCAAGGCAGACAGTAACCAAGCCTTCCAACTGATGCATATTCTATCCATCTACCAATCCTTCTCTGGCCAGCAAGTGAATTGGAACAAGTCCACCATCTATTTCAGCATAAATACACCTCAGCACATTAGAAGTTCTACCTGCTGCATCCTCAACAACATCACTGAACACAATTCCACCAAGTACCTTGGCCTACCCTTAGGCATTGGAAGATCAAAATCACAAGCATTCTCTTTTGTGGTTGAAGCTGTTAAGGGGAGAATTAACAGCTGGAAGAATAAGCTCCTCTCACCTGCTGGCAAGGAAGTACTCATTAAGGCCATCCTTAATGCCCTGCCTGATTTTGTAATGGGGTGCTTCAAACTTCTAGTCTCTGTTTGCAAAGAAGTGGCTAAACTATGTGCTCACTTTTGGTGGAGCAAAGGGGGAGAACAATCTAGGGGCATCCATTGGGTTGGCTGGAATCAAATAACTATGCCTAAAGAGCTGGGAGGATTAGGGTTCCAAGACCTTAATCTTTTTAATGAGGCAATGTTAATGAAGCAAATGTGGAGAATTCTCACAATGCCTGATCTATTGATTAGCAGAATGTTAAAGTCAAGGTACTTCCCCACTACTGATTTCTGTGATGCTAAAAAGAAGAATGGAGGTTCATGGCTTTGGAACTCCTGGATGGATGTCAAGAGAAAGTTTGATCATCAAATTCAAATCAACCTGCAGAATGGTACTCACACTCCTATTGTTGGCTATCCATGGATTAAGACTCTTGGTAATCAAAGAATCACCTTCAAAGAGGGCATTCAAACTCCTGCAAAGTTGTCAAGGACTTGCTGCTGGAAGATGGGAAGACTTGGAACACTGACCTTGTTCTGCAACTGTTTAATCCAAATATTGCTGAAGCAATCTTGAATATCACTTCTCTGCAACCTAATCAGGAAGACTATTGGTCTTGGTCTGGTCCCAAGAAAGGCCCCTTCTCTGTTTCAGCTGCTTATGCGAATCTCATGCAAGTTAAAACTTCTCAACTTGACAGACCAGAGAGCAGCAACTCAAGACTTACAGACATGAGGACTAGAAGCAGAACCTGAAAGCTAAAGATCAAAGGTAAAATTAAACATTTTTTGTGGAAGTGTATTAATGACACCTTACCAGTCAATGTCAACCTGCTCAAGAGAGGTATTGATACTGATCCTACATGCCAAGTGTGTGGTGAAGCTGCTGAAACTAGACCCCATCTTTTCTGGCACTGCAACAAAGCTCAACAGGTTTGGAGCATCTCACCGGTTACTTGGGATTGCATGTCACAACCTTCTGCTTCCTTCCCTGACTGGTGGTGGACCATTTGCGACCTAGGATCCAAACATATTGATGAAAGTAGAATCCAACTTTCGACTTATTTACTTTGGTGGTTGTGGAAATCCCGCAACCTCTGGGTCTTCCAACATCAAACACTCCCTTTGCACTGCCTTGTAAGGCAAGCGATAAGGGAGTGGCAAGAATTTGCTCAAGCTTCATAAGACTTTGCTGGCTTTGGAGAATTAATCTAGGTCGTAGACAGTTTATTAGCTCTCCTTAGTCTTTATTGATGATTAGTATTGGATTTCAGCTATGTGCTGCCACTGCTATTTTATTGTTGTTTCTAGACCTCTTGCATGAGGTCTCTCATTTGGCGCAGATTGATTTATATATTTATTGTTCCTAAACATTGTATTTGGTTCTTATTTATTTTAGTTTCCTATCGCTTCGAAAAAAAAAAAGTCGAATTAGTACAATCTCAGTCAATTATAGTGTAATCGACCTCGAATTAGTCCAATTGAAGTAAAATTAGTACAATCTCGGTCAATTATAGTGTAATCGACCTCAAATTAGTCCACAACATTTTTTTTGTTTTATTTTTTGGCATAGATTTCTTTTTATTTTATATAAATAAACCACCCAAGTACGATAAATTTGGCAGTCACGGGTCGAGTCAATTTTTGTGGAGAGATGTCGAGATCGCGAGAGAGAGAGCGGCGATTCGTTCATTCATCGGTAGTCAGAGACAAGGGATCCCTCTTAAACAGGTGCACTCTATCTTCCAAATCCAAAATCAAATTGAGATCCAACTCGAAATCGAAATCCAAATCCTCCCTCTTAATCAGCTGCACTATTTCTGCCAAATCCAAAACCAAATTCAAATCTAAATCGAAATCCAAATATTCAGACAGTAGCAAAGCTCTTGCCAACGCCGAATTGAAATTGATCAAATCAGCTAATGCTCAACTCAAGGTCTTGTTCCTGGTGACGCATTCTCACCACGGAACCCTCGATTACCCTGTAATCTCAATCGACGGCAACTCTTTCAGAGTATTAGACGAGGATGATGATGATCTTCCTCGCAACTTATTGCCTCTACTCTCTCCCTTGGACTCAAAACACCTATGCCCTTCTTGGATGTTGTGGCTCATTGGTTTGATTGCTATTTCAGCCAATTCATTCCAAGGCACAGTATCTTGTGTGGGACATGGAGACGGATACTTGTAGATACCGTTTTCCATGTGATTCCCCAGGAAGAGAGGATGATGACCTGTGGGCTTATGGCTTCGGGTTTGATCCTTCATCCGGACTCTATAAGCTGGTCGTATGTTGGGAGGACTACTTGGGTGAAGTCTACGCTGAGGTGTTGTCCCTCAGAACTGGTTCGTGGAAGGCTGTTCATTATCCTTTTGACTTTACGAGGAGCCCCAAAATGTACCCCTCTATTCACATTAATGGCTTCTCCTATTGGATAGCTGCGGGGTTTCGGGATGGTTCTGTTGCTATTATGTCTTTCGACTTTGCTAAAGAAAGGTTTCGTGCTCTTATCCCTCTGCCCAAGAGGGAAAAGTGGAAAATCTTCGAGCTGAGTGTTGTTCTAGTCGAGTTTCAGGGGTCGCTCGCATGCGGTTGTTTGTTGCGATTCCTCCAAGGACAAACCTTTTATTTTCGAGATTTGGGCTTGGAATGGGCGAGACAGATTCTGGTCCCTTGTCTCCAGATTAGATATCCCTGCAGCTGCTGATCCTTGTGCGGTGCTGAACCTCTACAACAATGATAAATGGTTTATTAGGGACACTAAAGGTGACTTGCTGCTTTATGATCATGCTACCAGACGGCAAGAGAATCTCGGGCTCCATATTGGTACAGGGTCTATGCTGTTTTACCCTTGTGTCAAGAGCTGTGTTGGTCCTAGCTCCACCAATTAATCTGCAGCAAATTTAATTAGATCAGTTGTTCCAAGACCTTCTACCTGGGTTGGGTTACTCTCTGTCAAACAACCTATCTTAGAACAAATATCTCAAGTCCCCTCTCTTCACATTTAGCGTGATAAGAGTTGTTTTCTACTTCTAATTCTTTTGTTGGGTGCTCAATACTTATGGTGTATGAAATGTTCTGAAATTTCAATTGTTAAATAGGTTTTATGGCAGATTATTTTTATTTTTATTTTTTTTTGTCTCAAACATCAAATATTCATTAACAAAACTTGAAAGTACAAACCGAGTATTCAATGGATTACACATAATACCCTTCTACGCTCCTTCAGGCCAGAAAAGCTCTAGATAAGAAAGCGACCAAAAGTCTCGCAATAGACGCAAGAGCAACCCGCCGGCAGTAGCGAGCACGTGTTGCTCGGCTCAATGAGGGGGACAGAAAGACGTCTTTCTTTCATTGGGCTGGTAAAATAAAAAACTTAAAGTAGAAAATCTCTTGCTTGCCTATTGAGGGCTCAATTACATCGAGCCTTCTTTCTATTCTATAGAAGTGCCATTAGCCAATAAAAGAGAGTTCATCTTTAAAATAGAGGGATTCTTAGTCTAGCGTGTAGTTTGAAAGAAAACACAATTAAGAGAATCCGTGTCCTTACAAACGTCAACCACCTCTTTAAGGTCTTCAGTAGTTAAGGGGCGCGGAATGTTATCTCCTCTTAGCGAGTATGGTACCCCCTCCTCTTATTGCCTGGGGATGTACACAGCAGTGCAGGCAACATAAAAAATATGTTCCTGCCATAGAATGGCATTTTTGCCCCCATCAGGGGTAAGACCTACATCGCCCTTAGAAAGGGCTCATCTCTTCTCTTCTTAGCTCGTCTTCGTCGTATGATTCCTCATGCTGTGCTTCATAACCCCTAAACATGTCCATTTCTTTTTGGGTAATTTACATACATCCTACATTTTGTGTAAATAATTGCAGTTTTACGTTTCGCAACAAAGAATTTGTATCAATACCCAACTCTTCCAAAATAATTATACTATTGCATTAGATTTGTTTTCAAATCAAAAAGTGCCTTAAAAACCGTAACTGATTAAAGCCAATCTCTCTCATCTCTCATTTATCTACTCTTAACAATTCTCCATTGCACTATTTCCTATTCCACACACTATCTTCCCTATTTATCCGTTTTTTTTTCTGTCTTCTCCATTATTTTCTCCTTCTCTCTTCTCTCTTCTCTTTATTTCATTCCCATTATATTTTAATTATCTCTTTATATAAATTTGTAAATAATTTTAACAGTAAATTTTCTAATTTATTTTTCAGTTATTATAGGCAGTATATATTGCATTTATATTTAGTATATGTTCAGTTTTTTTAATAGAAAATATATATTGCGTTTATAGTCCGTATATATTTACGGAGTAATTATCTCATATTTGTTTATGTCAAGATTATATGACTAACAAAAATAATAATTTGTGATTGATTTTGTTTATCTCTGGTTTATGTTAAGCATATAAAAATATACAACACACATATACATAAAGTACATATAAAATATGCATAAAATATACATTCGAGATTCTTGTAATTCAAGTCAGCGATATATCGGGACACACATATACATAAGATATACTTTAAATATACATTGGAGTTTCAATCTTTTCTCAAAATCGATTTCAGAACTCACATATACATAAAATATACATAAGATATACACTCGAGATTCTCGGAATTCAAGCCAGCGACAGATCGAGACACACATATACATAAAATATACATAAAATATACTCTCGATGTTCAATCGTTTCTCATTTTAGAACCCAAATTAAGAGCCGAAACTGCAACCATGGCCCTCTTCTCTACATCCGCAAGCTCACTTGACAACGTCGGTTATTCCCCTCCTCGACGGCAACGGGCGTATCTAAGTGGTGTCGTCTCGGTCGGCGGAGAATTGTGCGACGGGGAAGGCAGAAAATAATAAATTAACAACAACACTGTGAAAAGGTGGAAAATAATAAATTAACAAAAAGGAAAATGATAAACCAACCATTTGTGCAAATGAACTCTCCCAATTTATACTTTTAATTTCTTTCAACTTTCTGTGCATTGGCACACAGAGCTCGAGGGCACGACTTTTCGTGAACGATCAAATTAAATATTGGAATACAGAATTTGAGATGTTCAGTGGGCTAATATCCGAGCATGATGCAAATTATGTGACACAAGATCACAAACCAGGAATTTTATAGCATGACATATAATGCGTGCTCGAGAAGCCGCCGGTGATGAAGACTTGGCGAAGCCGCGGATTGCACGCTCGATTTCTCTCCGGCAGCAGGTTGTCGAGAAGCCGCGAATAGAAAAAAAATCTCATCATATAAACATGTAGAAGAATAAGAGAGAGAGAGAGAGACTGAGAGAGAGGGAGAAGAAAATAGAGGGGAAGAGAGAGAAGAAGGAGAAGAGAATGAGAGTTATTCGTCCTCTTCAGTTGCCGAACCCACCCGCCGGTGCCACGCCATTCCATCCGCTGCAGAGGATGAAGCGTGGGACAATTTGTGGAGTAAGAAGCATGCAAAGTGGGATCCGTTTTTTATTTGGTAACAGATCCCACTAAATCCGTTATGATCCCTTTAAATTCCTTGTATGTGTGCACATAATTTGTAAATTCGCTAAAAAGTTTAATGGAGCCGTAAAAGTGCAAATAAAATGTTGTGGGAACGTGTGAGGGGTAATTTCCTCTTTCTTTTTCTCTCTACCAACCCGGGGAAAAACACACAACAGGTGTCCCCTACAACACGACCATATTGGCCCAAACTAAAACAACTACCACTACACCAAGACTAAAAACAAACAAAAACCAAAACAAAGCAACTCCAAAAAGGAGACAGAGCAGGTTTTATGTAAAGATGCATAAAGTAAACAAAGATCATTTGATAGTGAAAACATTAGAGGGTTGGTGTAGATTTCACACAACAATCTTCAAAGGTATGGGCTCTATGGGATTTTTGTAATGCCCCATTTGATTATTGAATATTTGAGAATTATTTATTATTATTATTTATCTTTATTTGTTATTATTATTATTTATTGAATACTATAAATTATTAAATGTCTAATATAATTTATTTGTCAAATTTGCGTGTAAATGCTTAATTGTCTAAATATTATTTAATTGCCAAATTGTAATTAAATGCCTAAATGCCTAAAAATTATTTATCTGTCTAATTGTGATTAAATGTTTAAATTCCTAAATGATATTATTATGTGTATATTTGTATTATTGTTAATATTATTATCTTATATTTAATTGTGTGTATTATTATATAAATAAAATCCGGTTTATTTATTTTATCGTGCGATATAATTTTCGAGCCGAACCGATTTAATGTTGCGTTTAATCGAGCCCGAGAACCGAGCCCGAGTCTTTGCACTCGTCCAAACCCGTGAGCCCCGGCCCATGTGAACCGCCCCAGACCCAGGTTATTTCCGTGAGTGTTTGTGTCTTAGGTGCTAAGGCATTAAAACCTAGTTATATATATGTATAATATTTCTACATCTCTCAGCAGATCCAAACGCAATCTCCATCTCTCAGCAGATCCAATCACAACCCGCAGTCTTTTTCCCTTCGTCAATCTCTCGCTCTCTCTATCCCTCTCTTCCTCGATCTCTCGCAGACAAAAGATATCGCGCAGCAATCCCGTCTTTTTCCCTCTTGTGCAACCGATCGTCATCTACCTTCTCACGCTATCACGCAAGGAACCCGATGGCCAAACCCCGACATCGCTGCAAATCCCAATCGCCGATCACCTCCCTCTTGTCAGAATCACGTCGCCACCATCCCCCGCTCACCTGCGACTGTTTTCAATTCAGAACTACCGCCCACCGCGAGATTTCACCGTCGCGCCACGACCTTCGAATTTCCGGCGACTAAGCTCTGCAGACCGAGCTCGCGCGTCGCGAATCTCTGCAACTTCCAGTGACGCGCAGACCGACCTCTCGTCGGAATCTTCATCGTCGGGCCCCTCCGTCGCTGACCACCTCTCGTCGAGAACCAGTCTTTCTCGACCCCACGCAGTAACGCCGCGATTCCTTTTTCCACCGGCGTCCAGACCTCCGCATGGACATGCAACTCCGACGACCATCACCGGCGAGTTCATCCTCCGCCGCTGCTCTGCCCCGACGTGCGCTCAGGCCGCCGCAGGCAGCCATCCTTGAGCCGCTGTCCTCTCCTTCGTGAGCCACGTGTCCATTCGAACCGTCCGTTTTTTCGACCGATTCCCGAGAACGGTACAAGGCTCGACCCGTCTCGTTTAATTTTATGTATTGTTTATGTTGTGTTTTTAGTTTTTGAATGTGAATTCATGTTTAAGTGTCATTCGTATATGATCTATGACTTTATATACATGCCTATGTTGTTTATGTGTCTACAAGTTTAAATATATGTTGAATATATGTAGACGATCTCTTCGATTTTGAAAAATCGAATGAGACCTCGTCAACTCGTGAATTAGTCGCTGTGGATTGGAACGGTATATCGTCCTTGGTCTTATGGCGAAGACTTCGGACGATTTCGTCGTGAATCGAGTCATTGAATAATTGTCGAAATTGTATTATGGCTCTTTTCGTATTAAATTGATATTAAAATGCTCGCTGGTCCATTTGCCTTGAAATTGTGAGGGTAATTGCCTCTGTTGAATATGTAGCTTGTGTAAAAATTTCATGATTTTAGGAGGTCTGTAGCTATTTTAATAAATTGAAATGTTTTCTGGTTAGTTTCATGTTAATTGCATAATAAATTGTGTAGTGCTCGAAAATGGCTGAAATTCAGGTATTTTGTTCTCTTGTCTGTTTTAGAGGTGGTTTTAAATTCTCATAAATTTTGGACTCTGTTAGCTTAGGTAAATAAATTATTTTGTATTTCTGCCAGAAATTGTTTTAATTGTGAAAAATTGATCTGTTGCTGAAAAATTTGATTTTTGGTTACATTGCATGTTTTGTGGTATGTTTCATGATGTTAAAATATTTGAATTTTTGGAGTTCATTTAGGTTCGGTTATGTTGAAAGTTCGAAAACAACTGAATGTTGTAGCAATTTTAATAAATTGCATGTTAGGAGTTTAGGGCTGAGATTTTTATACACTGCTATGTACATGCTGTGGTTCCTTAGATAAAAATTTCATAGGTTAATTCATTCATTTGATCTGGTTGCTAATTTATGCTCGTTTTTTCCATAAACTTGCTCGAATTTTATAAAATCATGTACTTTGACTTTGAGGCTGAAACTTGGTGGTTCTTCTAATTACTGGGAGGTGTAATTTTGGTTTAAATTTCAGAGGTTAATTCATAGGGAAACCTGACCAACTAGTTTTATGTGATTATTGGTATTTTTTTTTTCAAACGATATCAAATCTCATACCACAAAAAAAGGATCGGAGGGCTCACTAGCCCTTACAGTGAAAATTTACAAGGAGAACCACACCATCTTGGTGGCCTAGACAACAACTAACTCAAGAACTAAAGCTTAAACACAGTTAAGCATCCTTTAGTCCCCCTAACACAGACCAACTAATAACACAAATAAAACTCAAATAAACTCAAGAACTAACACAGATAAGCATCCAACACTAGCAACATACAAATAAACTCACAAAAACTAAAAACAAATGACAACAGTAACTCACCCAACA